CGCGCTCGGCGGGCCCGGGAGCCGCCGCGGCCCCCTCCGCGCGCCGCGGCCCCCGCCCTCCGGCGGCCGTGCAGGGGGCAGGGCGGCGGGCATCCCGGGGCGGCGGCCGCGCGGGGCACGAGTCGGGCCCCCGGCTCCGGGGCGAGGCCCGGGCGCGCGCGCGCCGGGCGGGGGAGGGCGCGGCGGAGGCCCGCGGGCGCACGGCGGGGCGCGGCCGCAGGGGTCCGGGCCGTGCCCGGGCGGGGGGAGGGGGTGCCCAGGCGGTGCGCGGCGCTCGGGCGGCCGCCGGGGCGCCGGGGCGCGGGTCCTCCCGGGCGGGCACGTGACGGGGTTGGCAGCGCTCGGGCCGGGCCGGGCCGGGCCGCGGGCCGCGGGCCGCGGGGCGGGGGGGCGGGGGGCGGGCGGCCGGGGGCGGCGGGCTCGCGGAGCACTTGGGTCGTGTGCTGGGGCTTTTCTCTCCCCGGAGCCGGCGGGGGGAGGGGGAGGGGCCGCCGCTCCGCCTTCTCCTTTTCGCAATGTTGACGCAATCTATAAATAGTGGAACAAAAGGACCAACTTCCTCGGAGCTTTGCTGAAACTGCACAAAAAATCGAGCCGGGGGGTTCCCTGGTCCCTGGCGACGGGGCGGGGAGCGCGGCGCGGGGGAGGGGCGGGCGCGGCGGCGCGGGCCCGAGGGGACACCTGGCCGAGCCGCCGCCGCCGCCACCGCCGCCGCCGCCGCCGCCTCGGGCCCCGCGCGCCCCAGTGCGCCCCGACCGGGGGTCTCGCTCCGCCGCCGCTGACAGGTCAGTGCGCACCGCCCCTTTCCGCGCGGGGGTTCCTCGCCCTCCCGCGAGCCTCTACTTTTAGAAGGGAACCGGGGGGGGGGGGCGAGCAGCAGCGAGGCAGTGACAGCCGCCGCAGCCGCAGCGCCCGCGCCCGCGCCCAGCGCCAGCCCGGGGCTCCCGGCGCCTCGTCGTCCGGCCGGTCCCGCTGGCGGCCGCGCGGGGTTGGGGCAGGGGCAGGGGCAGGGGCAGGGCCGGCGTGCGGCGCCGCGGGGGCGCTGCGGGGCGCGGGGGGCGGGCTCCGGGTCTCCGCGCCCGCCCCGGCGGGGACCGCGAGGGCCTGGAGGCCGCCGGGCGCGCCTCGCCCCGCTCGGGGCTCGGACCGGGCGTCCCCGCCTCGTCCTGCGGCTGCCGCGCGAGGGCTGCGCGGAGGAGAGCGGGGCGCGCACCCCCGGCTGCGGGGCCCACGCACCGGGCGCGGCGGGGGCGGGGCGGGGCGGGCGCGGGCGAGCCTCCTCCGGGCCGGGGCCGGGGCCGGGGCCGGGGCCGGGGCCGGTGCGCGAGCGGCCGCCGTGGCGGTTACTCGGGGCGCGGGGGAGGGGGCGGAGCTGGCGCTGTTGACAGCGGAGCCGGGCGGGAGGGCGGGGGAGGGGGAGTCGGCGCCGGGGGAGGGCGGCGCGCGCGGGCTCGGGCGGGGCGGGGCGTCACGTGACGGCCAGACGCCCCCGCGACGGGCGGCCGCGGGGTGACGTCAGCGCCCCGGCCGCAGGGCGGCACTTCCGCCCCCTCCCCCACGGCCGCCCGCCCGCCCGCCCGCCCGCCGCGGCCGCCGCAGCCCTCTCGGAGCGGGGAGCGGGGAGCGGGCAGCGGGCAGCGGGCGGGCGCCGGCCCGGGCTTTCCTCGCCGCGCGGGGCCGCGGCCGCCTCCCGGCCACCCCGAGGCCCGGGCCGGCCCCCGCCCCCCGCCCCCCGCCGCGTCCCATTGTGCGAGCGCGCGGCGCGGGGCGGGGGCTGGTGCCGGCCCCCCGCGGCTCCCGGCTGGGGGGAGGGGGCGGGGCTGGGGGCGGGGCGGTCCCGGCGGGGGGGTCGCGGCCGGGGCTGGGGGGCGGGGGGTCGCGCTCCAGCCGCCGCCGCCGCCGTCCCGCGCCATTCGGGGAAACTCGGGGTTTCGGTGACTCAGCGCCGCGCGCGCTATTTATAAGTCGGCGCGTTGCTGGCGGCGCGGTCCCCTCGGTCGGGCCCGGCCGCGGCGCGGCGAGCAGCTCGGTTTCGGCGACAGTTCACAGGACCGTTTCTGTTGGGGGTGAAAAGCAGGAAAGCCGCGGCGGCTAGAGCCTGTGCTGCAAGTGCGGCAGCCGGGACGCGCCCTCAAAGTCGCCGGGCCCTGCGGGGCAGGTGCGGGGCAGGTGCGGGGCAGGTGCGGGGCAGGGGCAGGTGCGGGGCAGGGGCAGGTGCGGGGCAGGGGCAGGTGCGGCGCAGGTGCAAGTGCAGGTGCGGGGCGAGACCCGGGAGCGGGAGGCGCCGTCGGCAGGACCCGCGCCCGGCACCCAGCGTCTCGCAGGCCCGAGGCGTGAGCCAAGGGAAACCTGCAGCAGGGGCTGAGAGTTCCCGTGGAGGACTCTAGCCGGAGGGGGTGCGCGGCGTCTGTCTAGCATCGGAGCTCCCAACAATTCTAGATCACGCGTCTACCGTCCGAGGCCTTCCTGCCCAGAAAGTGCTATAGAAATGTACACTCCAGCCCGGAGTTGTGCAGTGTGTAAGCGCTGCACAAACACGATGGGTCATTGCTCGTTTTACAGGCTTTATGGTTTTTTTTTTGTTTGTTTGTTTTGCTTTGGTTTTTTTTTTTGTTTGTTCGTTTTCTCCCATCCACCCCTCCCCCCAGCAAGGGGTAAATGCTAAAAAGGAGCAGTTGCTAGGCTGGCTTCTTGGAGCCGTCAGTGCACACCCAGTCTGCCCGGCCCCACACAGTTTTCGTGCGACCTGGAGTGTTTCTTGAAAGAGAGAAGGCAAGGCGGTGTCCCGGACGGCGAAAGTTAGGCCTCCAGGGCCTCCCAAGCTGAGAAAACGAAGCAGCAGTGACGGAGGCCTGGAACTAGAGAGGGATTAGTGTGGGGGGGAGAAGGGAGTGAAGGCAGGTGAGAAGCCAAGCCGGACAGAAGGCCACTCTGAACTTGATCCGGAGCCCTACAAGCTTTTAACCTTTTCCTAGACAGGTACCCTTTTGAGAACCTATGGGAAGCAGTGGGGCCTCTCTCCAGAAACACGTACCTATAGATCTGGATTACAGTTTTGCACACATTCTCAAGGAGTTTGTGAGTAAAGGACTACTGGGTCTCAGGATTAAACCTACACAGGAAAGGGAAAACCAAGAAAGGATTTTTTTTTTTTTTAATGGAAATGCATGGTCAGGTGTGAAAAGATTACAGGTCTTTGAAAAGATTACATTGGTTGGGGGTCCTAGAGACTTGGAAATGGAATGTAAAACAGCCCGTAATCTAAGTAAGAGTGGATTGGGACCACTGCTGTGTACCTAATGACAGTGGAGATAGAGGAGGAATTCGAGAAAAGTAATTACAATGAGCTGGTGGAATGGGAAACCGGTTGTGTGGGGCAAAGGCAGGAGATCCCCAGGTTCCCAGTGCAGTGTGTGGACTAGGATGAGGAGTGGGCCTCAAGTCCAGGAGGAAGAACGTTCTTCTGTCCCTGTGGACTTTGAGCCATCAGGGAACTATCCCCAGGAGGGTTGGAAGTAAAGGCTGGCTCTCTGGAGTCATTACAACATAGACGTAACTAAAATCATGGGGATGTACAAGATGGACCTGTGTCAAGTGAAGAGAGGCCTGCGAGGAGAACCCTGGGAAATGCCTATATTTAGGGGAAGGGGAGGGGCCAGAGGAACCTTTCAAGGACAGGACACTGATGAGTGACTAAAGACAGAATGGTGTCTTTAGTGTATAATAACTTTGGTCAGTGAATCCTGCTTCCTTGATAAGGAATGAAAATACACGGTGGGTCTGGTCTCTTCATAGGATTTAAAAGTCTGTGTATCCTTTCAGTTTTGAAAAAGAAAGGGAAAAGAGCACCTTTCCAAAGATTTGAATTCAGAAGAGAGATGAGGGCAGGAAATGATTAAATCTTGCTTTCCCTTCTTTTCTGAAACTAGGGATACCTTGGGGAGAAGAAAAGGAGAAACAGACTCAGCCTTTCTCTTTTCCCTGCTCACATACTAAGCCTTTAAGGAAAAGGAGTTTAGATAGGTCCCCATTATGGTTTTTTTTTTTTTTTCCTTCCTAACGGCACTTGAAAACCATACTTGATTGCCAACAATTAGTACTAGGAGGTGCTAAGGTCTCAGTCTGGCTAAGAAAACAAGGAAAAGTGGAGGGAAACCATTTTCTTTTGCTTCCTCCGTCTCCCTCCTACTTGTTAGAGCTAACCTGAGTTAGAACTAGTCCCTACAAACAGGGACTCGAGCACAAAACAAACCACCCCAGAATTTACTACTTTACTTGGATATGCAGTCTGGGGAGCGTTCTGCAGGGGCAGCCTGTCTCTAATCCACCTGGCCTCATCTGGGACAGCTCCTAGGCTGGAGGCTTGCATCATCCGAAGGCTTGTTCACTTGCGTGGCTGGTGATCAGTACTCACAGATGACTGGGACCTTAGCTGGCACTACAGGTCAGAACACCCGCACAATGTCCTCTCCTTCCGGTTTGGGCTTTCTCAGAGCAGGGTTGCTGGGTTCCCAGTGTCTCAAGATTGAGAGCCAGGTAAAGCTGTATCACCTCCTACAACCTATTCTTAGAAGTCATGCAGCATCATACCCATTGGATTCTGTTCGTTAGTGAAAAATCACTACTGCCATACACGTTCTAGAGAGGGGAATTACACTCTTATCTTTTAATGGAAGGAGCATCAAAGAATTTGCAATGTGCTTAAAATCACCACACATATTATACAGATAAACAGATTTATAAACAATGTATTATATATTAAAAATGTTTAAACATAAGAAACCAAATATCGTCTTTTGATATCAGAATGAGATACAAAATTGCAGACATTCCATTGTTACAGCAAAGCTAATTCTAAACCAACCCAAGTAGGCAGTTGGTCTCATAATCTTTCCTCCTCCTCCCTTCTGACCATTCTCCCCCCTCCAGGCCAGGCCCCCTATACAAGATACCTCTCTCCCCCAATCCAGGCAGGACCCCCCCCCCCCCCACAGCGGCTATACTTCCAAAGTGATGATCAGGTCCTAAAAGTTTTTGCTGTTCCTTCCTTGAATTATCCCTGACTTTGTACCTCACTAGATCATTGGGAAGGCCATCAGTGACATGTCTTTACTTCTCAGGGTTAACAAGCAAAATGCTATAGAGAGTATCCCAATAAAGAATTTTATAACAAATTCATGTTACATAATTAAAACAAGATGACATTTCTTTAAAAGGGCTATGTTTTTAGGTATCAGGATCTTGACTTAGGCTTGTTTACTCATAAAACTCAGTAGTTCTAAAAGGGATGGTTGAGATTTTAGGTATCTTATAAGAATCTGCATGTTGCCTTGAAGGTGATAAACCATTTGATGATTTTATGCAACATTTAAATGACTCTTCTTCCATGTTTACAAGGCACAGTGCATTATTTTTCTTTAAAACCAGTACACATAATTATTTGCTTGGTAAAGAGGCTCAAGAGTTCTCTAAGGAAGTGAAAATACTACCTTTCTTTGAGTAAACAAAATAAAATAATCTTTTCTTATAACCTAGTATATTTTTAAATTCTCCTAAAGCTGATATTATAATTTATACATCTTTGATGTTCTCTTAGAAAGATTTCATTTACGACTTAGAAATAAATAGTGCTTTCTTGGCTTAGAAATAGAATTTTAATAATTCATGCTCTCCTGAAGGCTAACACCTCTACATGTTTTGGTCATTCTGCATAATTATTTATAGTTCTATTGAGTCAGAATCACATTGTGGGAATATATAGTATGGAATACAAATTTTAAAATAAGCACATCTAGATAATGAGCAAACATATATTTATGAACCCCTCTGTGTATTTAGATTTTTGAAGAAGCATACATGTTTTAAAAAGTAAAATGAATAAAATATGTCTTTGTTTTTAAACGTTCTTATACAGCAATGATAAAAAAGAAACTGACACAGCATTCAAATTAAACTAATAGACTTTGTTATCAGGCCCCAAACTGTTCCTAATTCTGTGACTTCATAGCTACCATGGAGGCAGCCCAAAGGAGCTTAAGTAAACATTTTTAAATTACGTAATGAGGTTCTGAGGGAGGAAGAACCCCAACCATACTGCGCCATATAGTTTTACAGATGCTATTTCCCTGCATGCCAGGATGCTTATTACCCTATCTATAGAATGACTTCATAGTAATGATAACATGAAAGAAAATTAATGTAGGCAAGCAAGTCTGTTTCTAAGGCATTGAGAATGAAAGCAAGGTTGAGGTAGTTATTTCAAAGTAGTTATCTAGTAAATGTTTTTCTTGACTATAAACTAAGCATTTAGGAAGCATTTTGGAAAGTGCTATAGTGAAAATGGCACATTAAGCAATAAATCCAATATGATTTCAATAAAGAAATAAATTCAATAAGTAAAATAGGATACTGCTAGCTTATAGTAATAATGCTGTATTTACCACTACATTAAGAATTAAATACAATCTCACCTTTTTTTTTACTAAGTAAAATAATTTGGATCCTTCCTTATACTATTTTTCTTCACCTTTGCATGTGTTCAAAATATAATTTATTTTAAAAGAAATATTGCCAAAGTCAATAAAAAATACATTTCTCACCGGCTGAGCACAGAGAAGACAAAGAATATTAGATCTTTGGGGCAGTAAAGTTATTAATGTGAGTATATGAGCAAAAATGCAATTTTATCAAATTCAATTACACACGGAGTCTCCCCATCAGATTGACAAAGATTGAAGATAAGTGTTAGTAACTAGTGTTGCTAAGAAGGTGTTCAAATTTACAATCACGTTTATTACTATATTACCTTTCTTGGGTCTTAAAAATGTCCAAATCTTTGATACAGTAGTTCCACTTCCAGGAACCAATCCTAAAGAAATAAATACGAAGTCAAAGATTTATATATATTCACTTCAGTATCTATACGGAGGAAACAATCTGAATATTCAAAAGTAACGGAGTGGTTAAATGAGACATGATGATCAATCTAATGGAATATTATGCAATAACTAAAACTACTTAGGGCCACAGAAAAATACTAATAGAGTAATTCAATGTATAGCTAAAATTTTTTAGGTTATAAAACTACTTCTCATTTATTTGAAAATGCACTTATATGCATAGAAAAAGGATGGGGAAAATATATCAGTGTGATTATGGTAATTTTACTTTTCCTTTTTTTTTAATTTTTTTTTTTAATTTATGATAGTCACAGAGAGAGAGAGAGGCAGAGACATAGGCAGAGGGAGAAGCAGGCTCCATGCACCGGGAGCCCAACGTGGGATTCGATCCCGGGTCTCCAGGATAGCGCCCCGGGCCAAAGGCAGGCACTAAACCGCTGCGCCACCCAGGGATCTCTACTTTTCCTTTTTAGAAAATGAGCACAAATTATTTTTTAACAATCAGAAAAAGAAATCATTAAAATTAAAAGATCTCCTCCCAAATATGTAAATCAAATGACATACATTTATATTCTTACAACACTAGGATATTTAATAAAGTAACACATCGTATTAGTTACTCTTTATTAGTACTTTCTCATTTTGTATGTTTACAACAATGTCTACCACTGAACAATCTCTGCTTTTTAAAATCAAATTAGAGGGGATCCCCTGGGTGGCTCAGAGGTTTAGTGCCTGCCTTTGGCCCAGGGCGTGATCCTGGAGTCCCGGGATCGAGTCCCGGGATCGAGTCCCACGTCGGGCTCCCAGCATGGAGCCTGCTTCTCCCTCCTCCTCCTGTGTCTCTGCCTCTCTGTCTCTCTCTCTCTCTATGTCTATCATGAATAAATAAATAAATAAATCTTTAAAAAAATCAAATTAGATAAAGTGTAGGCAAGTAGAGAGTATTACATGAATGGTATACTCTGAAAGGTAGCCTTTGGTGGAAAAGTTGATTTAAGAAAAATTTAGTATAGGGGAGCCTAGGTGGCTCAGTCAGTGAAGCTTCTGCATTGGGCTCGGGTCATGATCCCGGGGTCCTAAGATCGAGCCCCACATGGGGCTCCCTGCACAGTGGGGAGTCTGCTTCTCCCTCTACTGCTCTCCCTGCTTTGCTCTCTATATATATCAAATAAATTAAAATCTTTAAGAAAAAATAAAAATTTAGCATAGTCAAAATCCATCTGTAAAGCTATAATGGGTGGATCTATTTTATAAGTTTTATAACAGTATACTTAATATTTTTTATTCTAAATTGTGGTAAAAAACACATAGCATATGGGATCCCTGGGTGGCGCAGCGGTTTAGCGCCTGCCTTTGGCGCAGGGCGTGATCCTGGAGACCCGGGATCGAATCCCACATCGGGCTCCCGGTGCATGGAGCCTGCTTCTCCCTCTGCCTGTGTCTCTGCCTCTCTCTCTCTCTCTCACTGTGTGCCTATCATAAATAAATAAAAATTTAAAAAAAAAAAAAAAAAAAAAAAAAAAAAAAAAAACACATAGCATAAAATTTACCAGCTTAACTACTTTTAAATGTACAGTTCAGTAACTAAGGAATTCACACTGTTGTGTATAAAGGTGTTTTTATAAAAATAATAAATGTTCATAAAAATAATACAGGTTCACTTATAAGTAATTTAAATAGAGAAAGTTACAGGAATATTTAACAGATTTTACCAGTTTATCAATTTTAAATGAATGTTGCTGTAGGCATATTTCTATGCATTTATACAAATATATTTAAGATCAAACATATAGTATAAGTTAAAAAGTATTAAATGTGATGTAATTTGGTAGTGGTAAAATAAACTGAAGGAATTGCTGAACTTTTAGGAAAATGTTTCTTTACTACCAGAGATCTTATTTCCTAAAATATCTGAAGTTTTTTTTTTTTAATTATCTGAAGTTTAAAAAAGAGTTTGGAGACCTTTTTTATCTATGTTTCAAGTTCAGAAATGCTAATAGACTCTGCTATGAAAAATATATTTTTACATCATCCTTATTTTTACAAAGTCACGGTTTTAATGTTTATTAAACAAGGCTTAATGTTTATTTAATGTTTATTATGTTAATTATAATCCTAATTTCTTTGATGATTTGGTCTCGATCTGTATCTTAATCCAGTGCTTACAATCTGGCTTGATTCTCAATATCCTACTTAATTAATTTTGATTGATCAGTTGTTATTTGCTCTTCACTAAGTAGTTGTTTTCTTTTTTTTTTTTTTTTTTCCTACACAGATCCATGGATTCTGTGTTTGCCTTTTTCATCAATTCTCAAATGAACTTATTTAGATGTAATGGTTTTGGGTCACGCTGCCTTTGCCTTGAAACTGCACAGACATTTTTCCTTTGTTTTCTGGCTTTGAATATTGCTTAGAGGAAGTTTAAGGCCAGCACGATTTCCTCCCTCTTGATAAGTTATTTAGCTTTCTGCCTGGAAGTCTGAAAAGTTTTTCCTTCATTCTTTATGGTTAGTAGCTTAACCAGGATATGCCACAATACTGAATACTACATGTCCATTATTTTTCTGCAGATTCAGTTCTTCTGTTATTTTGTGGAAATTCTCTTCTGTTGCATCTTTATGTGCTTTTTATGATTCACTTGTATTATGTAGTCAGGGAGATGAATCAGGCTTATGTTATCTTTGTCTCACATATGATTTTCTTTGCAGTGACTTTGGTCTACTTTTCTCTTACATTCACTGCAATTTATTCAATTCATTTGTCAACTGGAATTTATTGAGTGCTAGCACCAGTGGTAAATAAGATCATAATCCTGCCATGAATAAGCTTTCAGTTAAGGATTGGAGAGGGAGAAATAAACTTATAACAATGTCGAGTAGTAATAAGAAGAACCCCTGGTAAGAAACTGGAAGGATAGGGGAAGGAATTGTGCATTTTAGATGGAACGTAAGAGCAGGCCTCTCTCTGTAAAATGACATCTGGGAAGAGCTCTAAATGAAGTGAGGCAGTAAGCCAGCGAAAGACCTGGGCAATCCAGATGCAGAGAAAAAGAAAGTACAAAGGTCCTATAGTGGGAAAGTGGTGTGTTCAAGACAGAATCATTAGAACCAAATGAGTAACCAGAAAGTGGTGAGAGATGAGACAAAAGAAGTAGATAGGCCAGATCACAAAAGGGATTGTCAGCCCTAGGGAGGAGGCTGAATTTTGTTCTAAGTGTGATGAGAAGCAGGGAAATGATGTATGCTTCAAAGGAGTTATTCTGGTTGCCGCTAAATATTTCAACAGCGATAACGGAGTATAAAGAATTGGTCAGATAGGTGCTGTAGAACTGAAAATGCAAAAAGGGAGCACTGAAATAAGAGCGTTAACTTCAGGAAGCAGCCACCACCCCTAGTACTGGATAAACACAAGGAAGACCTGAAGTTAATAGGGGAGACTCGGCAGAGCTGGAACCCTGGCCTCAGAAGACATAGGGTATGTTGGGGCTGGTTCTAGGAGAGTGTTGGAGCTGACTGCCACTGTGAGGGTGAAGGTCCATAACTAGGGCAACCTTGACAGGTGCAGAACGCCAACAAGAAGTAGTGAGTTCTTTTCCCTTCTCTTTTTGATTTTCAGTCTTTCTCTAACACACTTTATTACCAGAATGTGGCAAGAATTCAGCTGGCAAAATAGAAAGGTAGTTTGCAGAGTCCCATCCTAGCATCACAAGATGTATGAGTGTGGAAGGGTTTATTATTAAGAGATAACAGCTTAGTAGCTGGCACAGAAAGGAATTAAGGATGACTTCTAGATTTTTGTCTTGAGCAAAGGGATGAAAATATTGTCATTTATTGACCTATGGGAAGACTTGGAGAGAAGTAAATTGAGGGGGAGAAGAAAAGTAAGAGGTTTTGAGTGTATTAACTTTGACATCCCTACTAGCCATCTAAGTGCAGTTCCTAGGTAGGCAGTTGGACAGGAGTTCAGAGTTCAACAATGATAAGAGGGATAGAGTATAAATTTTAGGATTCCTAAGAACATCTGCATTAAAAAAAAAAAAAACAAAAAACTTGATGAGATGATCCAAGGAAAATAAATGTTGATGGAGAAGAAAAAAGGGGGTGAAGAATATGCTGGTGTCCCAAACACCTAAGAAAAAAATGATCTGGCAAGAACGTAATCCGTGATTTCAACAAGCGCGGTTAGGTGGGGTTGTGGAAACAGTAATTGTAATTGGAATGGACTGAAGGGATAATGTAAGGCGAGGAAGTGGAAACTACGAGCACGGTCTTTGAACAGTTTTGTTATAAAGGGGAATAGAAAAATGGGCTTAGTAAGGAGAGGGGGACATCAGGTGATGCTGTATTTAGAATGGGAAACATTACAGTATGTTTACTGGTTAGAATCATCCAGTAAAGAGAGAAAATGAGGATGCAGGAAATGGAGGAGATAATCCCAGGAACACAACCATTGACTTTACAAGAAAACATGGAATGGGGGCACAGGGGCACAGGGAGGGGGTGGCCATGCCTTATTTAGGAACAGGGATAGTTAATCCTTTATAAAGGAAGACCGACTAAATACAGAGGAGGAGAAGTTGGTAGACGGGGTTAGGAAAGATGAGTTTCTTGTGACAGCTTCTATTTATCAATAAGAGTCTGAAGTCAAGAGCGGGGAGAGGAGAGAGATTTAGAAGAGATGAGGCGTAATCATCTAGGAGAACAGAAGAATGAATGGACTAGGGGAATGTGCTGGGGTTGCCAGTCTTCCTTTATGTTGATAATTTGATTTCCAGCTATGTTTCATTTCTTGATATTCCAAGTGTATTTGTTTTGTCTTTTTTTTTTTTCGTATTTGTTTTGAAATAATAGTATTATTTTGGTCTTCATTGGCTTAGGTTGTGAACATTTTTTTTTTTTCAAAAGATTTTATTTACTTATTCAGCAGAGACACCAGGCAGAGGGAGAAGCAGGCTCCATGCAGGGAGCCCGATGTGGGACTCGATCCCAGGACCCCAGGGTCATGACCTGAGCCAAAGGCAAACGCTCCACCTCTGAGCCACCCGGATGTCCTGAACATTTTTTGTTTTATTTATTTATTTACTTTTTAAAGATTTATTTATTCATGATAGACACAGAGAGAGAGAGAGAGAGACAGGCAGAGGAAGAAGCAGGCTCCACGCTGGGAGCCCAACACGGGACTAGATCCCGGGACACCAGAATCGCGCCCTGGGCCGAAGGCAGGCGCTAAACCACTGAGCCACCCAGGGAGCCCCCATGTTTTGTTTTTAAAGGAATTTTTACTGTTTGCTCTTCTTGTATTATAAGATATTTGGAGAGGAAGATTTTGTGATCTGCTTTTATTCCCGATCTTTATCTGGAAGTCTAGAATAATATTTTTAAATAGATTGCACTTATTTTTTTCAGCTCACCCTATATATAAGAATGTAACAATAAGATGTCATGGTAGTATTATATATCAATAGCCACAGTTTACTGAATGCCTATGTGCAATGAGTGCTAGGGACTTCACATACATGACTTCTAGAACTTATAGTAAGCCTATAAGGTAAGTACTATTGCCAGTTATTTCCACAAGAAACCTTTTTTATTAGTGGTGTCAGATTACAGAATCTTACCTGAAGCTCGCACTGACCAAAATAAACAAGGTAAGAACAAATTTTTCTCTTTTGTGTTTTTAAAAAATGAGCACTTAAGAGACTATTCTTTTTGAAGTACAAAAAAAAAATAGTTTGCAAAAGGGCACCACACAAATTAAGAGCAATTTTATGGACAGCTTTTTGACACTATATCATTAAGTTCTTGGTGGGAGAGGTGCTACTTAAGTGATGGATTCAAGGAACCTGGTAAATTAATTGAAGTGCCCTTCCTCTAACCATCTCCATCACCCGTGAACATACTGAGAGCCTGCTATCTTAAAATCATTACTAAAAAAAAAAAATATATATATATATATATAAAATCATTACTAAATTATATGAAGCCATTATAATTTTACAACTCCTAGGAGATGTATCAGTATTTGTTTTGGAAACTCCATTATTTGAACTTAAGTAATATCAAACTTTTCTATTGGTCAGCAATATTTAAATTCATGTGATGACACTGAAAACATATCATTGGGATATAAACATATATCCATGACAAGTAATGAGTTTCTTTTTCTGATTATAAAAGTACATGTAAGTGAAGAAAATTTTGAAAATACGTAAATAAAGTAAGTAAACATCTTTTTTAAAGGACAGCAAGAAAAAATAACCAATAATTCTTTTATTTACAGGCAACTGACTATTGAAGTTGACATATTTCCATGCAATTAAGCTTAGGAAATTTAAAGTACTTGAGTATGCTGCTTTTTTTCATAGCAATATATCAGAAATATTTCCTGAAGTTATTTAAAACTCCTCAGAGACATTTTCAATGGCTGCATAACATTCCTTGAGTAGTATTTCCTTAAGCGCTCATTTAAGCAATTTTCCTTAGTTTCTTATAAGCAATGTTGCTATGAACTTTTTTTTTTTGCTATGAACTTTTTTATGCTTACATCTGTTTTAGCATTTCAGATTATTTCCTAAATTAGAATAAATTCCTAGAAATGAGCTTAAGAGGCCAATATTTTTAAGGTTCTTCATCTTGTAAAAATTTTGCTATAAGAAATCTTTTAATTTTCTACATACTTTTATACTGAAAATAAATCTAAAAGAAAAATTTATGTGGACTACCTTTTAAAATTAGGCTAATATTTAAGTTTAGGTTTAAATATTTTACCTTCCTTAAAGAAATTCATTCTTCAAAATATGTACTTTTTGGCAGGTTCAAAACTTACACTTCATTTGAAGATGTGAGTTTAAATATATACTTATTTCAGCCTAATGTATCACCGTCTTTTTTCCTATTTTCAGATATGCTAACCCCACAGTGCCTTAGCCCAACTGATCACCAGTCTAATCTCACAAGTATACCACTATGATATAGATGTACACATTCATCTGTGGATAGAATCTAAATAAAATTGCAGGCCAAGGTCATTCCCAAACTAAGTAAATTTGGCACAAGAATTTTAAGAGTGCCTAAATTAATGCTACAATTCTGTTGTTCTAGACTGAAATACAGAGCCTGTGAACAGAGGAAGTTCACCTAATTTTAAAATTAATTCAGCGGCACCCGGGTGGCTCAGTGGTTGGGCGTCTGTCTGCCTTTGACTCAGGTCACGATCCAGGGGTCCTCGGATGAGTTCCATGTTGGGCTCCCCACAGGGAGCCTGCTTCTCCTCCCTGCTTATGTCTCTGCCTCTTCCTGTGTATCTCTCATGAATAGATTTTTAATGAAATCTTTAAAAAATAAAAAAAATAAATAAATTTAGACTGGTGATGGAACTGCAAAACTTGAGAAAATATTCAGAAGAAATCTAGCCTAATAAAGGATTATTGCTTTATAATAGCTATCATTTATTAATTCACTCACCAAATACTAATTGAACATCTTTTATGTGTCAAACACTTGTTAGGTGCTGGAGTCAACTGAAAAAAGATATAGGCCTGTCTTCCTGGAAGATATAGTCTAGTGGGAGAGACAGAGAAAAGCAAATGAATAAATAGTCCTAAACTGTAATCTAAGCACTTCCCTTACCAATATTACTTATATGAGATAAAGAAATGATGTGGGTTCTAGTTTATCTGAGTTTTTGAAGTTGTATTACTGAGAAGAAAAAAGTTAGATTTAGAATTATTAGGAAGTATAGGTATCTCTACATACATACAGGTATCTCTATAGATCTTTTAGGACTAGTCATTAGCATCCCCTCCAAAAGAAAGGATAGACTAGGATTCCTAGATTTCGGCCCTCCCTTCATTACTCTCTATATTCTGGTCTGACCCAATCTCCGACGTAGCATGTTGTAGTGGAAAGTAAAACATCCCAAATTTGGGAAGTAAGAGAACCTGTTTTAGCAAGTGACGGTGCTAAAGGGATTGAAAACCTTACGTGAGATATTTCATTTTCCAGAATACCAGTTTCCTTTGCAAAATGATGTATTTTGACTAAATGATCTCTAAAATCACATCAGGCTTTAAAATTCACTGTCTATGCATCTCTCTGTTAGACATCTCTTCCATGGGGTGCCTGCATGGCTCAGTTGGGTAAGCGTCTGCCTTTGGCTCAGGTCATGATCCCAGGTGCTGAGATTGAACACCACATTGGGCTCCCTGCTCAGTGGGGAGTCTGCTTCTCCCTCTGCCCCACACCTTGCCCGTGTTCTCTCTCTCTCTCTCTCTCTCTCTCTCTCTCTCGCTCACTCTCTGTCTCTCAAATAAATAAAATCTTAATCTTTTCCATTATGCTCCTATTTATATTGGGGATGGAGAAGAAATAGTTGGAAAGAATAAAACTGATTCCTGTTCAATAGAGATAAAGGATTTACAGTTTTTAGTGACCATTTTTTCAAGTTATTGAATACTTTTTAAAATGTTAATATCTGCACAGCATTCCAACATAAGGATATACCAAAATGTATTTATCCATTTATCCATGCCTTCATTCTAAAGATTTTTTTCCCCAGTTTCTGCAATGTTGTAAAGGATATTTTAGAACCTATATTTGTCTACTAGTACTCAAAATACTAGTACAAGCTTTCTCTTTTGTATTATTCCTTTTGTTCGAAAAAAAAATCCTTCTATCTACTCTTCTAAAAAAGAATTCCTTCTATCTACTCCAGCCTTTACATGGCTTTCTGTTAACATAAAAACTCCACTTTGGACAATGTTATAGAGCCTATCCTTTCTCCTTCCAAAAATAGTATCATCCCAGACTGAGGGCCATATTTCTGCAGCTCTCCTGCAGTAAAAGAGAAGTAAAGCCAATTCCATGCCTGCAATCAAGTCTGGGTAATGTATATTTTAGCTTTAACCAAAGTTGAAATCTGTAAGATTAAAGCCCCAACAGCAGACAGATAGGCAAAGGTTCATTTCTGTTAGCTATACCAAAAATGTGATTTAGTGTGTTAATTATGACAAAGATAACTACAAATTTTGGTGATTTTGCCATGATCCTGAACTTGCTATAATATTAGCTATTACTACATTGAAACATTAGAGTGTAAACATACAAGTAGGAGAAATAAAATTTAAGGTATAACTACTAAATTCAGTGAACAATTATATAATCTGCTACTTTTTTTGTAATATGATACGTTATTTCAGTAGATATCACCTTATGCATTAGCATTGGTACTTTTCCACCCATGAGTAAAGAAATCAGAAATTTAAAATTACCCTAAAAAATATTCTGAGTTAAAAACCCTTTCAACTTAGTAATTATTGTTTAGGGAAAAAATGGAACCTCTGTTGTGCCTCTTGGATTGCCTCCTTGGTGCAAATATCTTTTTTAAAAACTTAAGGACCTCTATAGAATCAATTTGGAATCCAGAGAACACTCACATTAACAATTATTTCTACCAATAGCTATTGACATTATATCAATTGTATCAAATGACATTATATCGACATTATAGTCATCAATAGGAGAATTTTAGTGACAGGATCTTTGAGGTCACATAGTCCAACTCTCATCTTACAGATGAGGAAAGTAAAGCCCGGAAAAGTTTTTATTAGTCATTAGCAGTAAGCTTGGAGTGGGCAGGGGCAGATGCGGGATCCTAACACTCTCTCTCAGCCTAATATATACCAGAGGGTATTAGGTTATAAGTACAGTACAGCACGTAGCTAACAGATGAACAAATCTAAGAAAGAGATCTGATTTGTATCCTTCGTATATATTTTCCCCTTAAGATTCTTGTTGGATGATCCATTCCACCTTAATCTGTTAGCACAGACACAAAATTATACAAATTAATGCTTGTGTGAAATAAAACCCAAGAGAGTAGCTGGAGTTAATTTGCCAGAACTACATTGTTGCATAGGCCCTGGGGTGAAGATTTCTGTATATCCATATGTATACATACCTGGAGCTTCTTAATCCTGCTTCAGGAAATGCCATTTACATACATTACAATGTAAATAGTGCCCAATGGAGCTGTGCATCATAGGGACACTGCAAATAAAAGTTTTGTGTATTAATTTAGGGTAGGCTAATTGCCATACCAGATCAACTCCAAAATATATAATGGCTCAAATTATATCTGCCATAGTAAGAAAGTTTCTTGCTAAAAATAAACAAGTAGTTCAGTACTCAGTTTCCAAGGTGTTCTAGGACCTCGGCTTTCAGTACCAAGCTTCCAAGATCTCCTGATGGGGTCTTGTCTGTTCCAGGCCATTAGAAGGGGAGTTTTTTTAGGAGACTCAAAAGTAGTGCATGTTATAACTGCCATTCTTATTCCATTGGCTCTAACTTGGTCACATGCCCACACCTGCCTACAAGGGAGGCTAGGAATAGTTTATCTGTGTGGACAACAAGAAATGAGAACATAGATTTGTAAGGCTAGCTAAGAGTCATTTGTTCACTTGGGTGCTCTTTCTCTCTCTACACACACACCCTGACACACAAACTCTGAAGTGGACACCAAAAAATACACTCACATGGTTATGCTTCAAATAGAAATAAACAGTGAAAGAAAGGGGCTTTTATTTAAGAAGTACATTCACCTCTACCCTTTCCTTCCTTCAGGTGGGACCCTAATTAACGCATGACAATAACCCAACTGGAAACTGAAATCTAAAAAGGAGGAAAAAAGGAAAATTTTTGCAACTATTACCCTTACGTGTGTGTGTGTGTGTGTGTGTGTGTGTGTGTGTGTGTGTGTGTGTATTTTAGGGGCACAAGACCACCAAGTTCCCCTTTTTAACTACATTATTAGTAAATAATGTTTGAAAAATATTCAACTTCTTAGACAACAAAAATAGCAATTCCACAAATGAAGGTGGCAGTAAGTATAGTGGGTTTTTTCCTTTGGATAAGTTGCCATTGTAATTCTCAAACTATTCTTAATCACTCACTTTTTAATAGAAGCACTGCATGGCCGCACTTCTGAAATCATAAACAGGAAGTGTGATATATAAATGTCAGTAAAACTAAAACTCAATTCTATGGTTTGATATTTTTCTTCTCCGCCATATTTTCATGTTAATATCTGATGTTGTATGTACTTAGAATGATGATATGAAGGCAAATAGTAATATTTCCTGACAAGTTTTCTTTGACAACCTAACACTTTGGGGCTTGGGGGAAATATGCAGAGCAACCTATAAGTCGTAGATTTCCACAGAGGAAGAAATGGGAATGATCCAGAAATTGCTATTAGTTTGGCATCCTTAGAAACTGCTTTTTCGTTTAGGTTGCCCAACTTTATTATAGCCAGAAGATAGTACATATGGACAAAGAAGCTAGAGAGTACAGGACTCTTCATCTATTTAAAAATCCATTATAGGAAATAGTCTTATACTTTGTATATTCTTATTCTGACACCTCAACAATTCCTTGAATGTGTTCTACTCCATTAATTCTTTCATGAGACAACTAAGGAGTACAGCAAAAATCAGGGTATTATCTCCGGTTCCTCTCTATGAAGAAATAAAGGATCTTTGTAGGATTGGTGATATTTTCTACATAACACTATTTCAGTTTCTTTGCTACATGAACATCTCTATGGAAATCTCTTTGTGTGAAGAGATTCAGTGCTCGTTTCAGCAGCACATACACTAAAACTGAAATAACACAGAGAACGTTGGCATGGCCCCTGCACAAGGATGACCTGAGATTCGTGAAGCATTCCGTAACAAAAAAAGAAAAGAGATTCAAATTGACCAGTCTAGAACTTTTACATTAACTATTTCTTTTTTTTTTTTTAATCTTTTTTTTTTTAATTTTTATTTATTTTATGATAGTCACACAGAGAGAGAGAAAGAGGCAGAGACATAGGCAGAGGGAGAAGCAGGCTCCATGCACCGGGAGCCTGACATGGGATTCGATCCGGGGTCTCCAGAATCACGCCCTGGGCCAAAGGCAGGCGCCAAACCGCTGCGCCACCCAGGGATCCCTACATTAACTATTTCTGGAGAAATGTACCAACATATAGATACTTCTGTAACTTTAAAATGTTTTTTCTTGGGATCCCTGTGTGGCGCAGCAGTTTGGCGCCTGCCTTTGGCCCAGGGCGCGATCCTGGAGACCCAGGATCGAATCCCACGTCGGGCTCCTGGTGCACGGAGCCTGCTTCTCCCTCTGCCTATGTCTCTGCCTCTCTCTCTCTCTCACTGTGTGACTATCATAAATAAATAAATAAAAATTTAAAAAAAAAAATAAAATAAAATAAAATAAAATGTTTTTTCTTTAGGCAACAGTTCCTTAATTTACTCTTAAACTAAGCACTGAAGAAAACGATTTTACTCAAAGTCACATAATATAAGAGTGAAATAGCAAAAAATAGTTCTATCTATGTATCCAAACTCCCTTTCAAGACAGATCCCAATATCCAGAGAATGTCTTAAAAGGAGGTAGCCTGCCCATCTGTTATCTAGCTTTCTACAGCACGTGAGGCACTGCTGAGCAGCATACACAATATATAAAATTTGAGGTATTCTATTTTTTATTTATATCCTTATAGATTTATTTTAGAGAGAGAGCAAGCGCAAACGGGGGTAGGGGGGTGGGTAGGGATAAAGGGACAGGGAGAGAATCTCCAGCAGATTCCCTGCTGAGCATGGAGCCTGATTTAGGGCTCAGTCCCACCCTGAGATCATGACCTGAGACAAAATCAAGAATTGGATGCTCAACCAACTGAGCCACCCAGGCGCTCCAAGAATTTGAGGTATTTTCATTGAAAATTGAGCATGTGAAAAAAGGATTTGGAAGTGTTTGCAAAGTAACATAGTAAGTATATTAATCAAATGCAAAGTATAAATAGTTGCTAATGGGAAGTGGAAAATGAACTGATTTAAAACTAGACTGATAATAGATGGTTTACTGGAATAGACAAATTTTATGTAGATTTATTTAAAGCAGTGATGGATTTTGATTGCCAGAGAGAAAAGATACCCATTGATCATTCACCAGATATTGAGTGCTCACTATGTGCCATGTGCTATACATTGTTCAAGGCACTAGAGATAAGGCAATACACAAAACTACTGCAGAGCAGAAATAGATATTTCATCTCTCAGGCATGATAATTTGATAGGAACAGAGAACACAAATATGAGCATACAGAAATGAAATAGAAAGGAAAAGAACTAGTAATGGGCTTATAGTAGAAGGCCTTAAATACTAGGATGTTTCTAAATGGAAGAAAGATGTTTGGGTGTGAATTGAACAATTGAACTCCTTTGGTCACTGCAGTCAGAATAGACAGCTTTTTTCCCCCTGTCGGTCAGCATAAACTTATAGTTACCAAGATAACACAAACAAAATAAATACTGCACACAGAAAAATTCCCATCTGAAGTGTATGGAAAGCAAAAAGAGAAAGAATGGGTAGCAAAAGTTGAATTTTATCTCTCCTTTTACCTCTAGTTCAATTTTAGGGATATAAGAACACATCTGTTTAATTCTACTTACTCAAGTGTGTAGATAAGTTACTGGGTTTAGTATTAGCCTGAAAAGATCCTCCAAGGTCGCATGTTCAATTTCTTAGTTTCAGCAGACAGAGCTACACTATGAATATTGAAAACAGAATTGTCAAGACAAAACAACAAATAATTTTTGAGCTCTTAGTTGCTTATCGGTGCCATACATATTCTAATCCATAGTCAACAAACATGCCAGACAGCATATTGAGCAGTCAAAGGGATAAGGAAAGAGTGGATCCCATAGTCTGAGCTCATAGTTATCAGTAGTATTACACTATCAGTCCTGCTACTGAACCACAAATCTAAATGGAGGCAATGTAGGATAGACGGGTAAATATTTTAGAGTAGAACAATTTGGGTTTAAGTCTTAACATTACTTATAAATTCTGTGATCTGGAAAAATTACTGCCTTTATGAATCACCGTTCTTTCGTTTTACAAACTGGAACTAAAACTGTGTAGCCTAATGGATGTCATAATGATCTATTAAAAGAAGAGACTTCCCAGGTTCAAATCTCAACTCCCTTACGCAGAAATTGTGTGACTCCTTTTCCTCATCTGTAAAATGAAAGTAGTAATAGTCCCTGTATCTCAAAGAGTTATGAGGATTTAACACCTTAATATATTTAAAGTGCATGTAACAGAGCTTGGCACATAGAAAATGATATATTTACATAAATTATAATTCTTATTTAAAGCACCTACCTAGTACTTGCCCCTTAGTATGTTTCTAATAAAAGTTAATTCCCTTTTATATTTCAGTTGAAATTATTTTCCTTTCCTTTAAGATTTTATTTTTCAGGAATCTCTCTACCCTATGTGGGGCTCAAACTTAAAACCCTGAGATCAAGAGTCAGCAGGCTCTACTGACTGAGCCAGCCAGGCACCCAGCCCTCCTTTATTTTCTAGATACATTTTTAAATGTAGCAAGCTAAGGTATGACTGATACTCAATAAATTGCATATACATAAGGTATACAATTGATAACTTTTAACATGTATAGAATTGATAAGTATATAACTGATAAATTTTAATATGCAAATCCCTGTGAAACAACTATCACCAGAATAAGACACTGAACATATCCATCAACCCTAAGAATTTCCCTGGCCTTTTTATAATCCCTCCCTTCTAGCACCTCTCTCCTCAGGCAACCACTGGTCTGTCTGCCCTTTGTCCCAATAGATTACTTTGCATTTTCTAGAAATTTATGTTTTCTTTCTTCACTCAGAACTTTGTTTTGAAATTAATCCACGCTGTTGCACATAACAATAGTTCATTACCTTTTATTGCTGAATAGTATTCCATTATATGAATATATCACAATTTATCCATTTATCTGTTGGTGGACATTTGGGTTGTTTCACATTGGAGACTTAAAAATAATGAATATTCATGTTCAGATCTCTGTAGGAATATATGCTGTCTTTTCTTGTGGAAATACCTAAAATGAAATGGATCATATATTGGTGTATGTTTGACTTTTCAAGAAACTGCCAAACTGCTTCCAAACCAATTACATCATTTTACATTCCTATTAGGAGTGTATCAAAGTTCTAATTCCTTCACATCCTTAACAACACTTTACATTTTAGCTGTTCTAGTAGATGTGTATACATTTTTTGTATATGGATAGCCACTTGTTCCATCATGGTTTTACTCTTATGTTTCCCTAAAGACTAATGAGGTTAATAAAGCTGAACATCTTTTCATGTGCTTATTTGCTATATGGCTTATCTTCTTGTGAAGTTACTATTCGAGTCTTTTGCCTATTTTTTGAGACTTCTGTTTTCTCATTATTGGGTTTTGAGGGTTACATTCTTTTTAAAAAAAAAAAATCTTCCTTTACTTATCTTTAAGTGATCTCTATACCCAATGTGGGGCTTAAACTTATGATCCCTGAGATCAAGAGTCATATATCCTACTGAGCTAGCCAGGCACCCAGGGAATATGTTACATTCTTTATACAAATCCTTTATTATATGCTTTGCAAATATTTCTCTCAGGCTGGAGCCTGTCTTCTTTAGCAGTGTATTTTAAAGAACAGAAGTTTGTAAAAACTTGATTAAGTCCAATTTTTCAATTTGTTCATTTATGGATTGTACTTTTGGTGTCACATCCAAGAAATCTTTGTCTCAGAGTCACAAAAATATTTTTACAAAAAAAATTTTTTTTTTACATTTTCTTCTAGAAGTTTAATAGTAATTTCAGGTTTTATGTTTAGGTCTATGATAAATTTTGAGTAAATTTTTGAACATGGTGTTAGATATGAATCAAATTCCTATTTTTATATATGGATATCCAATTTTTCCAAGCACAATGTGTTTAAAAAAAATTTTTTTTTCACTGAATTACCTTCGGACTTTGTAAAAAATCTGTTCTCCTTATGTAGGTAGTTCTGTGTCTGGACTCTGTATTGTTACATTAATCTATTTGTCTATTTTTACACTAATACCACTCTGTTTTGATTACTATAGATATTTAATAAGTCTTGAAATCAGGTAGTGTCAGCCCTCCAACTTTGTTCCTTTTATTGAAGTAAATTATTTTGGCTATTCTAGATCTTAGCATTTCTATAGAAGTTTAGAATCAGCTTGTCAGTTTCTTTTTTTTTTTTTTTTAACTTAGTGGGATTTTGATTTGGTTTGTGTTGAACAATTTAAGATCAATAGATCAATTTAAGGAGAGCTGACACACTCACAATATGAACCCACTGAGCCAGGTAAATCTCTCCCAACTATTTGTCTTTACTTCCTCTCAACAGTATTTGCTATTGTTAGTATACAGATCTTTTATGCCTTTTATCAGGTTTATTCCTAAACATTTCATATTTTTATGCTATTGTAAATGCTATATATTTTTTGCATTTTCATTTTCAGTTGTTTGTTGCAAGAATATAGAAATATAGAGGTCTTATAGCCTGCAATTTTGCTGCATTCTTCTATTAGTTCTTATATCCTGCAATTTTGCTGCATTCTTCTATTAGTTCTAGTAGCTTTTTGTAGATTCCAGCAGATGGAATAGATGGATAATTGTGTCAGTTTTATTTCTTCCTTTCTAATCTGAACGTATTTTTTTTTCTTGCCTGATTGCACTGGCAAACCTTTCAATGTTAAATAAAAGTGGTAAGAGCAGGGGCCCGTGGATGACTTGGTCAGTTGAGCGTCCAACTCTTGATTTCGGCTCAGATCATGATCTCAGGGTCATGGGACCCAGCCTCCTGCTCAGCATGGAGTCTCCTTGTGATTCTCTCTCCCTGTGCCCCTCGTCCCAATCAAGCTCTAAATAAATAAATGAATAAATAAAATCTTTTTTTAAAAAGGTGTAAAAGCAGACATCATGGTGGTGTTCATGATTTTAAGGGGCAAGCACGCAGTTTTTCACCAGTAGGTATGAGATTATCTGTAGGTTTTCTGTAGATGCACTTTATCTGGTTGAAGAAGTACCCTCCATTCCTAGTTTGCTGAGTTTTTAAATAGGAAATGAATATTGGATTTTATCAGATGTTTTTTCTCCATCTATTGAGATGATCAGTTTTTCTTTTTTAATTTGGTGAGTCACAATGATTTTTTATTTTTTCATTATTTTTTTAAAGATTTTTATTTATTCATGGGAGACACACAGAAAGAGAGAGCGAGGCAGAGACACAAGCAGAGGGAGAAGCAGGCTCCATGCAGGGAGCCCAATGTGGGACTTGATCCCGGGACTCCAGGATCACGCCCTGAGCCAAAGGCAGCCGTTAAACTGCTGAGCTACCCAAGCGTCCCACAATGATCAATTTTTTAAATGTTAAACCAATCCTGTATTCTTGGGATAAATACCACCCAAAAAATAATATATTTTTTATATATTGTTGGATTTGATTTGATAAAATTTGTCTAGAATTTTTTACATCTATGTTCATGAGGGAAATTGGCCTGAGTTATCTTTTCTTGTAATGTCTTTGTGTAGCTTGGGTATCAGGATAATGCTGGCCCCAAAGAACAAGCTTGGAAGTATTCCTTTCTCTTTACTTTTCTGAAGAGTTTGTGTATGATTGGTATTTTTTTTCTCTAAATGTTGGAAGGATTCACCAGTAAAGTCCTATGGAATAGAACTTTATGGGAATGTTTTAAACTAAAAATTCAATTTTTTGGAAATGGATTGTGACCAGATTATCTGTTTCTTCTTGAGTCAGGTTTGGTAGTTTGCCTCTTTCAGGGAATTTAGTCATTTGATCTAAGTTGTTAAATTTTTTGTCTAAAGTAGTTCATAATATTCCTATTATCCTTTCTTTTCCTCCAACCAGTCTGGCTAAAGGTTTATCAATTCTACTGATCTCAAACAACCAGATTTTGATTACATAGATATTCTCTCCTTTTTTTAAATTTTTATTTATTTATGATAGTCACAGAGAGAGAGAGAGAGAGAGAGAGAGAGAGAGAGAGAGGCAGAGACATAGGCAGAGGGAGAAGCAGGCTCCATGCACCGGGAGCCCGACGTGGGACTGGATCCCGAGTCTCCAGGATCGCGCCCTGGGCCAAAGGCAGACGCTAAACCGCTGCGCCACCCAGGGATCCCAGATATTCTCTCTTGTCTTGGTTTTCTATTTCATTGATTTCCACTTTGACCTTTATTATTTCACTTCTTTTGCTTGTGTTTAATTTGCTCTTCTTTTCTAGTTTTTTTTTTTTAAGATTTTATTTATCTATTTATGAGAGACAGAAAGAGAGAGAGAGGCAGAGACACAGGCAGAGGGAGAAGCAGGCTCCATGCACCGGGAGCCCAATATGGGATTCGATCCTGGGTTTCCAGGATCGCGCCCTGGGCCAAAGGCAGGCGCCAAACCGCTGCGCCACCCAGGGATCCCCCGTTTCGAATTTTTTAATGTAGGCATTTCATTTATATAAATTCTGATATAGTGTATTTTTATTTTCCCTCAGGTCAAAACAATTTTGAATTTCACTGTGAATTGCTTCTTTAATCAGTAGGTTATGTAGAAGCATGTGATTTTGTTTCCCAATATTCAGGGATATTCCAGTTAGCTTTCTGTTACTGATTTCTAATTTAATTCCACTGTGGTCAGAGGACATACTTTGCATGACTTAAATCCTCTAAAATGAATTGAGATGTATTTTATAGTAAAACAGATTGGCAAACCTTTTCTTTTTTTTTTTTAAGATTTTATTTTATTTATTCATGAGAGACACAGAGAGAGGCAGAGACACAGGCAGAGGGAGAAGCAGGCTCCATGCAGGGAGCCTGACATGGGACTCGATCCCAGGACTCCAGGATCATATCCCAGGTTGAAGGCGGCGCTAAACCGCTGAGCCACTGGGGCTGCCCCACAAACCTTTTCTACAAAGATTCAGACAGAAATATTTTAAGCTTTGTGAGTCACATACAGTTTCTCCTGTCACTTATTTTCTTTTCAGAAATCTTTCAAAATGCAAAACTATCCTTAGCTCATAGGCCATACAAAATCAGGCTAGAGTTGGCCCCACAGTCATAGTTTGCTAACAGCTGGCCAGGAATATGATCTCTGTGGGTAAATGTTTCATGTACTCTTTAAAGAGAATGTATATTCTGTTAGTGGAATATTCTAGAAAAGTCAATTTGGTAATAATGGTGGATAGTGTTGAGTTTACTATATCTTTGCTATATTTCAACTTGTCCTAGCAATTACTGAAGGGGAAGTACTGAAATCTCTGACTATAATTATAGATTTGTCTGTTTGTCCTTGCAGTCCTGTTAGATTTTGCTTTACATATTTGAACCTCTTTTTATTTGGGGCATAAACATTTATGATTGTTATATTTTCCTAATTAATGGACTCCTTTACTATTATAAAATGACCTTCTTTAACTAATACTCTTCACTATGAAATCTTACTTTGTTTCTACTACATTAATACCACCCCACCAGTTTCTCTTGACTAATATGAACATTAGCATGGTATAACTTTTTCCCTCCTTTTATTCTTAACAGTTTTATTTCTTCATATGTAAAGTGTGCTGAGTCTTGTTTTCTATCCAATCTGACAATCTCTACCCTTTGATTAGGATTTTTAGGTCATTTACATTTAATGTGGTTATTGATATAATTAGATTTAAATCTATCATCTTGCTATTTTTTATTTGTTCCATTTGTTCTGTATTCCATCTGTTCATTTTTTTTTCCGTTTTATGCCTTCTTTTGGATTGAGTACTTCTTCATTATTCCATTTTTTTCTCCTTTGTTGGCTTATTACCTATAATAGTTTTTTCATTATTCTACTAATTGCTTTAGGGTTCATAGTCTACATATTTATCACAGTCTACTTTCAAGTGAATTTATACCACTAGACGTATACTAAAAGAACCTTATCTTATTTCTGTTTTTCTACTCCTGGTCTTTTTTTTTATCTTTTTTTTTTTTTTAATTTTTATTTATTTATGATAGTCACACAGTGAGAGAGAGAGAGAGAGGCAGAGACACAGGCAGAGGGAGAAGCAGGCTCCATGCACCGGGAGCCCGACGTGGGACTCGATCCCGGGTCTCCAGGATCGCGCCCTGGGCCAAAGGCAAGCGCCAAACCGCTGCGCCACCCAGGGATCCCCTCTACTCCTGGTCTTAATGTTACTACTGACATATATTTATTAACACATGTTATAAACCCCATAATATATTGCTATTATTTTTGTTTAAACAGTTGGTTATCTTAAAAGAGAATTAAATGTAAAAATAACTTACATTTACCCATCTGATTACCTTTTCCAGTGTTCATCATTCCTTTGTGTAGGTCTCTATTTCTATCTGATATCATTTCCCTTCCATCTGAAAGAGTTTAACATTTCTTGTAGTGGAGTCTGTTAGTAATGATATTAAATTTTCATTCTGTGAATTTTTAGTCTTTGAAACACTCTCAGGTGTTTCAAAGTAAGTAATCATCAAATAATCTCCTTATCATACACTACTATAAATAGCGTGGGCTAAAGTGTAAAAGAGAAAACTAAAACGGATATATTGTACAACCATGAAATACCCTAAAACCTTGCTTCTAAAAGTACAGTTTGAGGCAAAGGAAACTCATAGTATGCCAGGATGCTAAAAGCTACTGAATAAACATGAGGCATCTTCTTAGATATCAATTTTACTACGGGACTTTGAAAAAATTTTTAAACATTATACTAAACGTAGACTATTATGGTATATAATATAACATTTCGTGTTAAATTTAAGATAAAACAAGAGACTAAAGGAAATTCTAGTTGGGGATCAAACTTCTAAGGCACTTTTTTTGCTTTTCTCTACTATTAACCACACTTTTGTGAAAAAGTTCAAGAAGCTGTGAACTTGATGATTAATCATGATTTATTGAAACCTCTCCTAAAATTGGATGCTGTCAACAAATGTAGGTTATTCATTGAAGTTTTTATTTAATTTGAATATGCATTTCTGAATTGACCACTATATCCTGTTATTCAGCTCATGAATCATTTCTTATTATGCTCATGAAAAGTACACTTAATTCCAAGTTTTTAAAATACCCATCATTATTCCTGTAAGAGACTTTTACTTACCAATTATCACTTTTGTGGCTATCAGCATGTTTACATCATTCAGTACCTGCAACACTGTTCAATTTTCTGATTCCAATCTAGGATAGAATAAGAATACACATATAAACAAGCCTATTAGAAATAAGCCTAAAACAAAGAACAGGCTGGCTATGAAGACCTTACTGGAAAATCTACTTCTAAGACTGCATCCTAAGGAAATAAAGCAAAAAAATTAACTATTAGATTGTCCCTTTTACAAACAGAGAAAAACATAAACATAATACCCTCAAATAAGAAATTGCCAAAATTATAGTACATCCTTATTCCATATGGAATACTTACTCAGCCATTAAAGGATATTATAGCTAAATATTCATTTCTAGGATGAACAACAAACAAGTATAAAAATTTGAAAACGGAGTTAACAGTTGTTATTTCTGGGTTAGGATTATTAATTTTTTTCTATATCTTGCTCATCTTGTTGCATATTCTTGAGTAGCAACTGCTTGTAGTAAGAAACACTCAGTTTCCAAAAACAGTAATTCAACATGAATAAATATTCAAAATGATGAGGTCATCATTTGTTTATCCATTAATCAACAAATATTTGCAGTATTAAATAAGACATAGTCCTTGCCCTCATGACTCTTAATTCGTGAGGGCAAAAAAAAAGGGCATAATCAATACTCTTGACTCCTTTTTTCCTGAATCCTCTCTCCCACTGTATTCTACAACACTGAGCTCTGTTGATGCTGTCTTCCATCCTATTTATTCTTAATTTTTTTTGCTGCCTTATCTTACCTTGCCCATTTACTAATTTGTTTCTCATTTCCTCACTATATTCAGTTTCCATAAGCAAGGACATCCAGGTCCCCCAAAATTTCAACTACTACCTATTTAGTGACATTCTCTTCCAGCCCCAACATTTCTCCTAAGCTTCAGAGGCACATGCTGAGCTCCCTACTGAACTTCTCTCTATGGATATCCCAGGGACAATCTTTGATATTTAATATGTCTTCAATGAGTTTCTCATCTCCTTCCCCTTCCCCAGTTTTTTATTCCATATCCTATACACACATACACATAAGCAAAAATCCCCCTTCCTCTATTTGCCTCTATCCTAGTTAACTATACCACTGTTATACTCTAGAGTCAAGCCAGGAACTAGGAAGTCATTCTAGATTCTCCCCGCCTCTATCTCAACCATTACTATCTATCCTAGTCCAAAATCTTATTCTTTCCCCTCATGACTGTAAAACCACATAAAACTACTTCCATTTACCTAATAATAATTATTGCGATAGTAATATATAATAATAGAGCACATTTTACATTTCCCTAGTATTCCAATTATGATATTGCAACTATGTTACCTTATTCGCAAACCACGAAGACTTATACAGAAGCAAAAATAGCTTCCACTATTCCCAGAGATCAGCAACCTTGTTTATACCCCTGTATCTAAGTTTTTATGACATAGCATTTGCTGCTTTACTATATGTTTACTTTTGAATAAAGTAAACATGGCAAAAGATGATCATAATAATTATTAAGCTGCTGATGGGATGAGCACTGGGTGTTATACTATATGCTGGCAAATTGAATTCAAATAAAATATTTTTTAAAAAGAAAAAAAACATAAATAAATCACGTTCCCCCCAAAATAATCATTAAGCTGCATGTTAAAAGTTCAATAATAGGATTTATATTAAGTTTATATAACAAAATATAATGTTATACTATGTTAGTTCACTAGTATTTCTTTAAAACACATACCTATACACATATACCACATTAGGAATTAGATAAACTAAAAAACTGAGTTTTTTCTATAAACTGAGCTTCCTTTCATTCCTATTCTATCGTCATTGACAGCACTCAACCTATCTATGCTTCCAAAATGATGAAAGTGAATGCACCCCCACAGCCATCCTTGCCTAGGAGGGTCAGAGGGTCCAACTGCTCCCCCAAGTCTTTTCTACTTTGTTCTCTGATGTCCGAAAGATGGAACCATCTATTCCACAAGATACACATTTTCCTGAAGAGGAAAAACAAAGTGTAGTATTTAGTAATAATAAAATGAATGAATTCAATAATACCAAAATACAAAAGACAAATACAGAGTTTTCCTTTGTCAATTGGGAAAGAGGAAAATGGTTTATTTTTAAGGAGCTTTCAGAAGCAATGCCTTCCAAATCATTCCTGATTTTTTTCAATATTCTTTAATGCAGATGTATTTTATAATTGGGTGGGGGGGAATGTTCAAAAGTGAGTCCATAAACCTAGTGTCAAGGGCATATAAAAGTATTTTTACATCAAGTGATTTACAAGAAGCTTTGAACCTTATCATAATTAACAACTGTATTACTAATTTTTTTATATCTAAAGGGTTAAACTTTAGGAACTTTCCATTTTTATATTCCTTTCCTTTCAAAGAAGATATGAGTATAAATAAAGGTAGATGAGAGAATCATTAGATTGTCATATGCCACAAGAATTTCTTGTCAAGGAAAAGTTTTGTATACACCATATTATATCAGCAGTTTTGCAGTTTATTAAAAATATTGCAGTTAAGTCACATGAGCTTTGGGTTGTTTTGACAATGGCATAAACATCTAATTGTTAAAGAAAACCCCATGCTTAGAAACTACATCCTCCAAAAAGGAGGGAAAATTAGTATGTGTGATACTTTGAACCACTTTTCTTTAAGAGTTTCCTTAAAAGTAGGTATATACCATCCTGGGTTTACTGGGTCAAAAGTTAACAGTATAGGGTCATCAAGTAAATTAAATGTTAACAGCAAAAATTAGAGGACTTAAATTAAAAACATAGGACTTAATCCTATGATGAAGAAAAGTGAGGAAAAAGTATTCCCACAAGAGCTGTAAACTGTTCACCTATTTAAAATAAATTACTTCTTCAGAACCACCTTAAAAAGTTAATTTGTTTTAAACACATAAACATTTCTTTGCCAAGAATGTGGTATATTTTTATTCTCATTTCCCTATAGATTTATGCTACATGAAAGAAATTTTTTTTTACATGTCACAGGGAACTCATCACAATTCTGAGTCATATCTCCTAGAGACCAGAGGGTCTCAATTTTACTTCTGTTTACCAAAAATAAGTAAGAAATGAATGATAATAGATTCCTGGTTTCCTGTCCTTCTCAACTTCCAAGACAAGGCTCACCCCAAGTTAAGAAGGTCTGTGAGTAGATCATGAGTTATAATTTTTCAAAGTTTTTACTCAATGTGAAGTTTATTTTATTAAAATCCTTCAATTTTCTTTTGATAAAGGATCAATAGATCCATTTCTATTATTTACCAATCCTTTTTATTATCTTAAACTGTTCCCCTGATATAGACATTTTAATGGCTAGAACAAAAAGTTAACTAAACTTGGTATATTTTGGACCATATATGGTATACAATTCACTGTTCTGGGTGTGTCAGTTTTTGAGAGGGGTGATGTTAAACTGGAGCATAATGAGAAGGAAGCCAAGATGGTGACGGGTTTAAAATCATAAACCAACCAAGGAAACTAAAGATATTTGGAGGGCAGGGGATTCAGTTGTCTTCAAGGTTGAAAATAATAGTGATATATTTTTTAGTTTATTTATCTTTTTAGTAATCTCTATGCCCAACATGTGGAATTCATGACCCTGAGATCAGAGTCTCATATACTCTTCCAACTGAGCCAGCCAGGTGCCCCAAGAGTGGTCATATTTAAAAGGTTACCACACATAGGTGAGAATGAATTAATTCTCAACAGCTGCAGGGGGCACTTTGACATATTTTAACTATTATGATTCTATAACTCCAATCCTATTATTTCAAAAACAATATCCCAAAACATTATATTTAATATTTCATCAAAAGGCAGCATGTTTACATGAATTTTTTGGAAAGTAGATAACTGAAGTAAGTGGGTTTATCCTTTTCCAGGTATCCTTATTGGTAAAGGGGGTGGGGAGAACTTATATTTATTCAGTAAATATTAACCACTATTAATTGTAAATGAATTTTAGGTCAGTCTCATAACCTGTGCTCAAGATATGGAAGCAAAACAATTCTGGACATGGGTGGGGTGGGGAGGAACCCTTATACTTCTATAACCTTAAATCAGAGTTGAAAATACTATGTATGAATCTGTTCTACTTCCATAATACCCATAATACTATTTTTTAATTGAAATAAACTGATCCTTGCCTAATTTTCTTAAACATTACAAGAACTTGAAACAGATCACTCCTATGCTATAAGGATATGCTTGATTTACTAAATCATTCTACATTTAATTTATATCTTCCTGGGGTTAAAACTATGACTTACTGGTAAAAACTGTCATCTCAAGCAAGTTGGGGTTACCATCGCAGGCAATGAAGTTAATTATCAGAGCCCCCCAAAAGAGGTGATCTTACCGATGTATATCACCCAGATTCAAACTATAGATAACTTAATTCTACCAACAACCACTAAGATTGTAGCTAACTCTCATCACTATTTAAAATAGCTCATTTTGCATATCTTTGGACACCTTAAGATCATCCATGATCATCCATTTGGATTCTCTATCTCTCTTAAGTTCTGTGACTATGGTCACAACACTAAAGTAATGCTAACAAGTGGGATCTAATTTTTTATGAAGAAGAGAAGCAAATGCTTTAAAAATAGATTTGTAAGACTTATATGAGCCATCAGTCCATCAGCACCCCCCAGTCTCTTAACAATGCCCTCAATTATTGATTTTAAAAAGTAATCCAATAGCAATGAGATAGATGGTGAAAACTTACAAATTTCTTTACTTTCACTTTCAGGTTTTGCTTTTTCAACTTTTCATAATTTTTTTTTGTATTTGTTTTCCCTCTTTTGTTTACTGTGTATTTGATAACTATTCTATTTTTCTTATAGACTTATCTCTTTGTACATCAAGGATATTAACCCATTATCTGCTTTATAAGTTAAAAATATTTTTCAGCTTTTCATGTCTTTAGTATATAGTGAATTATTTCCTGTGTATTTATTTTTGTGTAGGTACCAAACATTGTTCTCTGAGATTCTACATATCTTCACGACCTCATCCAATCCCATAAACT